AATGCCAGGGCTGATTGCTAGGGGGTAGTGACTGGGCCACTTTCGAGTTGTTTTTCAAAGGGGCCAAACAATTTTCTCGATTCTCCAGACTTGTACATACCAAGCGGAAATCTTACTAAAATCCAGCTCCACAAATTCAGGTAGTGGTGATTTTTGTCACTAAATGTCGCTAACAGTAACTGAGATGGAACTGATACGAATAAATGACCAGTGACCTGCGTATGGTCAGTGGATGTCGTTTCACATGGCCAGTGGACATGGTTCCATGCTGGCAACTGTTCTCCTGTTGTTTCATGATTTTGGATATAAATATGCATATATAATTTTACACATCAATACATGCATATTCACACATATATATATATTGTATATTACTATAATTTGCTATATAACTAATAATTACCCGTAAATTACTGCTGGTGCTTGTAAATTGCTAAGGAACTGTGCCAACCAGGGGCGCAAATAATCCACCGGCTTCTCTAAGGTAGACTTGGACTGGATAAAGACCTCTGCAAGAAGGTGAGTGCTCCCTGTCAGTGGGCCCCCTGTCAGGGCGGAAATGGGGATATCATTTTTCCCAGCCAAGGCGAACTGTAGAAGTGGAAGTGTAGAGTGCATTAGATTGCTCCTTAAGAACAGGCGCATCATGGCGCATCACTTCTCGGTATTGGGTTTTGAAACCACTTATGACCAAAAGAACCCGTTGCTGAGGGGAATGCCAAGCAAGCAGCCCCATCAAGCGACAACGGACATCAAATTTAGATAAATTTAGATCAATTGTATTGATGTCAATTCTAAAATTATGTACAGTACAAAAACATACATGGGTCCCTTTGTACAAGCTTTTAAAAGGTCTTGTGGGAGCGTCAGTTGTTGCGGTCAAGCCCAATACACTGCAACCCAACAATGTGAGGCCGTTCAAAGGGGGACATTGGACATTTCACCAAGCACAAAAAAGATAATTCCATCATTTTAATTTCCTGAGGCATGCCTCGTTTACCTTGTTTGCCTCGTTTACCGCGTTTACCCTTCCATGTTCAAATAAGGACAACGATTCTTTGAGTAGAAAGTGAAACACAAACAAACACCTGACACGAATACCTACCTATCTACCTACCTACCTATCTACCTATCTAACTATCTACCTATTTATAGATCTGTCTGTTCTAATGAGATCTAATCTGATCTAATCTATATATTATATAATCTATTCCTATTTCATCCTATGTCTATTTCTATTCAATTCTACTCTACTCCAATTCTATTCTATCTATATATATTATACCCATACCTTACGTATCTATCGCTCCATTCAGGGCCCAAGCTGACCCCCATCCCAGAGGACCCGTGGCGTCGCGATCTCTAGGTCCAATGCCCTGAGACTGGTCACCATTTACCAAGTGGGGTCCTCCAGGTATATGGAGGTTATAGATGGGGGTTATGGCCTATCAACATCTATCAACTATAGATTCAATGGAAAATCTTCACCGGAAACCATCGGAAACCATTCCCATGGAAAATCATTAAATATGGAAAATGTTCTGTACAATTTCCCTTCAACCAATCCATGGAACATTGAAATTGAGAATTTGAGGGACCCTACAGTTCAACCCTTCGGAGTCTTATCCAATGCACAGGCTACACTGAAATATCCTGACGACACTCACTTCACACTTGCTTACGGAAACGAAAAAGGAAACGTTGCCCTTTTTCTAAAAAAAAAACGTTACATGACATGAATTTAGATAAAAAACAAATGACATGACATCTGGAAAATTTAGATAAAAATACAACGTGACATGTCAAAAACATGTTAAACAAAGTGGGTTCAATGGACAAGGCACACGTGAAAAATAGGTGACCTTTTTTTTATGCGCCCCTTCCCACAGAAGATCCTCCTTGCCATTCCCATCCGCATAAACTATATCTCAAGGCGCCGGTGCGTGCTGAGCATGAAATCCTGCAGGGACAATTGCGATGTGTCCTCATGGCCATAATTTCATATAATGTAACAAATCATGTTAAATCTACAAAACCAGCAACTTAGGCACCCTGAGAGAAAAACACATGAAGCTAAACACCACATCCCAAAATGAGTTTTGAGCTAAACTCCTCAAGCTTCACGGGTCACCTTTTGGAAGGCTAGTTGAATTTCCCCAATCATATAGCCCTTCATATGGGCGCTCAAAAATGAACTATTCCCATACATCTCAGCAATTCTCAGCACGCACACACCTTCAGGTGTGGTATGAATCGATATGGCTTTTTAATCCAATGGGTAACCCGCAAAATTTGCTGCTTGATCAGCATTTGCCATCTTTTTCAAGGCCGGACTGATCGGGGATGCCCGGGGGAAGGGACTCCCATTTGCCAAAGGGGTTCCAACCCTGGGCCCATCGCTAAGTTGCTGTATACCTTCAACCATTAGGGCCTATGGAGGATACTGTATAGTTCAAGGATGTTCAAGGGAATTCTAAACCAACTAACATCTTATAACTGGGGGTTCCAACATGTTCCAACCCTCCCTGTCACCCTGTCCTCCACGTATTGCAGGACCATCTCCCGGAGCGTCTCGAAGGTCTCCAGGGGGAAGCGTTGGTGGTCGATCCGCAATGCCGTGCCGTTCTCCGAGGCCAACGAGGCTGCGACGCTGCTCTCGGATGGGACCCCGGGGAGCTGCATCAGGGCCTGCCGTTTTCGTCGCCACGGCAACATGGCATCCACCGCATCCACCGAGGGTCCCCCCAAAACGATCACCTGGAGAAAATGAATTCGATCATATTGGACCTACATCATGTACATGTAAGTAATTAGATACCAGGATGTACAAACGGGTCTCAATTAGGCACCCCTTAAGGGGGGTAACCATTAGGCACCCCTTAATTTTTAAGGTTCCAAACTAACAAATAATGAGGTATTCATAGTAATATGTGCATTTTTCTTCGATTTCCCCACGTTTGCTTCCAGAAATGCGTGTCATTTCGTGTCATTGTCGTGTCGTGTCGGTCGTAAGTGGTCACGAGTTTTTTTTGGAGAAATCAAGAAAAACATGCGTGTCATTGCGTGTCACTGCCGTGTCGTGTCGGTCGGTAGGGGGTGTCAATAAGCACCCCTTAGGCAAACGGGTGTCTAATAAGCACCCCTTAGAAACGTGTCGGGTGCTTTTTGAACAACCCCTGCGCGTGTCATTTCGTGTCGATTTTGACTAGTTTTCTTGAAAATTGGGAACATTTTACATCCGACGCGAAAAGAAACGCATGCATTTCTTCTCGCCAAACATGAAGTCGGGTGCACCACAGATGCCACGCGGGTGGGATTGGAAGATTTTGGGTTGGAACTCATCATTTTCTGGTGTGCCATCTCCATGAACGCTAAGGGGTGCCCATTAGGCACCCCTTAAGAATCTCAATTTTTGAAATTCATTAGGCACCCCTTTGAACGTGCTGGTATGTATATATATATATATACATATATATATATATGTCTAGTTATGTATATTATATATATATATATACATATGTGTGTGTGTGTGTCTAGTCTAGTTATGGTTAGTGTGGAGACATTGAAAGCGGTCACTGAACAATAGGAGCAAGCCCAGTCCAAGCCCCCAAACATCGGGTATATAATGGTATATATTCCTGGAAAGAGGCATATTTGATTGCAGGTGCCAACACCCTCTGCGTCCTTCAACCTGGCTATGTTGGTTCACAACAGTCCCTGTGCCCAGCTCGGAAAGCTTCGCCTGTACCAGATCTCTGGGGAAATTCACCATGCTGCTGCTTGGAAGGAACTCCTTGGGCAGAGTCGGATGAGGGTTGTCACTCGCATTGACGGGAAATTTTGAAGAAATCAGAATTGCAACATGTTCTAACCATTCAAAGGCAGGATATGTAAATTTCAAGCTCCCATTTGAATCCAGTTTTTCGACTTTCTCTTGCAATGAAACCCACCTGAAAATCAGTGTGAAACTTAAATTTGAGAAGTTTGTGATAATCTATGATAATCTGATGGCAAGGTGCTCAGGGGACAAACGGAACATAGGGATATTTTTAGGGGACATCTGTGGATGTCCTGATGGTTTCTCCATTGGTTTCTGCCGTGGCTCGATGTCCAGGAAGTAAGGCATGCAACCAGCCAAGAGAATCTCGTAATGACGAAGACAATCCTGGAGTGGAAAAAGAAGCGGCAGCCTGTCAGCCTCTCTGAAATCTGATCTACTGTATGTACGTGGATGTATCTTTATGTTTGTATCGAAAATTATCTAACTATATCTAATTATAGCTGGTTGGTGGTTTCAACCCCTCTGAACAATATTAGTCAGTTGGGATTATCCTTCCTAATATTTGGAAAAATAAAAAATGTTCCAAACCACCAACCAAATAGTTCTGATGTGGAAAATGAATAAACATCACTGAAAAATCTGAAAATGAACGAGAACCATTTTCCTTTGATCCAATTCAAGGAGATGAACCCCACGCTGGGCTCGGCTCCATTCTTTCATGCAAGTGGCCCAACCGCCTTTCTTCTTGGTGATGCAGAAGAATGAGGACGAGTACATCTCCAAGTAGGATTGCTCCTAAAAAGTGGACTGGCGGAAGGGATCCCAAAATCAGTTGCGGTTTGACCGATTGTGTTTACCAAATTCAGACAGGTATATGATGGATCACCCATGATCACCCCTTCTCCAACAATCTGGGCAAACTGTCATCATATAATATATATATATATAAATAATTAAAGCCTATATATATATATATATATGCAAGTTTTCACTTGTCTCAGTCATCGCAATAGGATTCCATTCGATGCGACATCAAGCTTGTTGGATCAAAACGAAGGCCAAGGACCATCCAGTGGCGCATTAGCCCCACCATTAGGTGCTAGCCCTTCTTCCATTTCCACTCATCAACGCTTGAGTGCTGTGGCTCCCGCATGGTAGCGGAGCCGTAAGGCTCGTGTGAAAAGAGAGAGATCTCCCACTGCGTTGCCGTGAGGAGAACATGGGAGACAAGAATGTGAAGAAGATAGAAAGGAATAGAGATGGGGTACCCTGCTGGGATGGTGATGCCACCACCTTTACCGAGTACTACGAGTTAGCCTGCTTGTGGGAGCAATCGGTGCCATACCACAAGCGGTATCTCAGCGCACCGAAGTTGATCAATGAATTGACCAACACAGCCAGGCGATTCGTGATGGCAAAGGAGCCAGACTGGGTATCCTATGATGGTGGGGTGCAGGTTCTGCTGAACCATTTGCGGAGCAGCCTTGGCTTGCCCCAAATGTCAGAGATGAGTGACTACATGGCCAAGTGCTTCCGTTACAGCAAACGGAAGCGAGGCAAGACGATGAACGAGTACATCACCCACAAGACCGAGCTATATGCAAGGGCCAGGGCCTCATTAGCTCGAGTCCAAGAACGATATGAGCCCAAACGAGATACATCGTCGAGCTCTATGTCATGGTCACACAACTCATGGAGACGAACACCAGCTGCCTCTCAGGCTGCCAGTGTTGCACCTGACCCCGCAGCAAGCGCCGCATCTCAGGCTGGTGACGTGGAGGAGCCAGCTGAGGAATCGGATGCACCAGATGAACGACATGAAGCAGCAGGAGAACCTGATCCATGGTCGAACTACGGCCACTGGACCAATTGGCAGTACCAGGACTGGGACTACTCAGGCCGAGGAGCTTGGCAAAACTGGAATGCAAGAGATTGGAGTCAGGGGAAAACGCACTCCAACTTTGGCACTGGCTATGCTTTGACATCGGCAACAAGCCCAGAACTTCTGCCTGACTTTGTCCAAGGATGGTTCCTGCTTCAAGATGCAGGTCTTGACACGTCAGAGAAGAACATGGTGATGGCAGCCTTGAAGAACAACTTTGCGACCCAGCGCGTGGCCCAGGAGCTTCGCAATCAATGGTGCTTGGATGGGCTGTGGTCTTGCTAGTGGGTTATGATGTTTAAAAGCCTTATGTAAATATATCTTAATTTGTACTTAGATGTATGTTACTGTTATGCTAACATCATCCCAGTTGTTTAACATGTTTAAAACATTTAGCTAAAAAAAATAAAGTTAGCTAAGTCATCTTATTTTTTTAAATTTTGCTAAAAATTAGCAAGTACTTAGCTGATTTAAGTTAATTTGGAAAAGATTGTTTTTTTAATGAATTTTCCATTCTTTTGCACAAGAGCAAAGCAGACAGGAATGTTTGTGCATGTGCACGATTTGAACAAGGGGCACAGAACTTTTTTCCTTTTGGTGCAAACCTTTCTGGTACAACTCTTTTGAAAGCTCCTTGTAGCTATCTATTGCAAGCCCATAGTGGCTAGAAGTTTTGGCAGCAAGCTTGAATAGCTAAGTTTTAGTCAGCAAGCTTGGATAGCTAATTGTTGCAAGTCCTTCAATGGCTTCTTTGTCTAGCAACTTGTGGCATGGCTCAAGCAGAAAACAAATTGAACACTGGATGGGCAAGCCTTTGACAAGAAAAGCATGATCCCACATGTTCCACTAACATGCACATGTTCTGGCATTTTGTTTTGCAACACATGCAGTAGCACTGAAACTTTTGCAGCCATGAGCCAAATCCCTGCAGAAGTGGTGAAGGAAGTGGACACCATCTTGGCCAATGAAGCCTTGCCAGTGCTGCAGAAAGTGGAGAAGCTGTTCAAGACTTTCAGTGGCAGTGGCTTTGGGTACAAGCAGCATGTGCTGCCCAAGGGTACACTGACTCACCCTAGCAATAGAGGGGGGAGTATGCTGAATGCTGCAGATGTCTGGGAAAAGGGCCATCGAATGGTCAAAGTGGGTGTCCAACCTTCACTTCTCAATGAAGGTGCTGTGGCTTTCGAGTTGGCAACAGAGGAAGGCATGAGAAAGAGGCAACTGGATGCAAATGTGGCCTTGGTCAAAGCTTCTGGTGACACCCTGGCCCCAGTGACTTTCCAGGAAAGGTTTTTGACAGTGGCAACCAGCCACACTGCTGCCTTCTGCAAAGCAGTGGAGCAAGGGTTGAAAGGACCCCTGGGGTTTCCAGTGGATCCAAAGCAAGACCCTGGGTTGCAGCAATTGTGCTCCAAGGGCTGGCCTTTCCTTGTTTTGAGCAACGCAGTGGAAGTGAAATGGCCCCAGCTGCCCAGCTACATTCAATCAGCTTTGAATCCAGTGAACAACTCCTACCAGCAGATGACTGAGATCGAAGCTGCAAGTCAAATGTGCGAGTACTTGAACCATGGAATGGCCTTGAAGGAAGCTTTGCAAAAAGTGCAGGAATGTGACCCCGCTTGCAAGAGGTCTCTGGAAGCCATTGCATGGTTTGTCTCCAGGTATGCAGGAGAGAGGCAATGCCTAGTGAAGTTCTTGGCTCACTTCAGCAGCTGGGCTTAAATTAGCTTGAACCCTTGAATGGCTGCAAGTAGCAATTGAAAGCCCTGGTGGCTATGTCAATAAGCCCAATGTGGCTCACAGCTGGCCAGCCCTTTAGTGGCTATTGCAAAACACCAGACATCATTTGCCTTGGTGAGCTGAGGTAAGACCTATGGGTCACTGCTTCTGGGGGAAGAGATGATGAAGTCCATTGCCTACATGGAGTTCAAAGGCTCTACCTCCTTGTACCCTTTCCTGAGGACAGCACTGCAACTTGGCATTTTGTTGAACATGGGCCATTGGCTTTTTTTGCTGGTAATCCATTGATTATTGATTCTGTAGGCAAAGGTTTTTTTTGCTTACTGCTTGACAGCTGAGGTGGGCTTCAATGATGTGCAGCAACCGATCCAGTGATGGATACTCTAAGCTCCTGAACAAGTCAGATTGTGAGAAGCTGAAGAATGCTGCTTTCAAGGCTCAAGTGGACATGGCTGAGTAGCTTGTTTGCATTTGTTTTGTTGCAGTGGTTTGAAGTTTCTACCTTTTACCAAGCACATGTTGCATTATGCCCTGTAAACATGACATGTCTACTTTGGGTTCATGGCCTGCAGCTTCAGGCAAGCTTTGGCAGATGGCTGGGAAGTGATCCAGAAATCTACTGCTGAACAAGCCACCAAATTGGCTGCCTTTGGGAGATTGTGTACCAGACTGACTTTGCATGTCTTGAAGAAAGAGAAGCATGGCAGAGAACCAGCTGGACATGAAAGCATCAATGCTATTTGCACACTGTTTGCTGCTGATTTGGCTGGTGGAGCTAAACCAAGTGTCAGAAAGGAAGAGGCCAAGCCCACTGTTGAACTGGAGGTGAAGAATGTCTTGGCCAGTACACCTGCTGAGCTGGCACTGTTGCAAAATCCGCACATGAAGCAGGGCCAATTGTGACTTGGCACAATGAAAGTTTCTTTTATTTCCTTAGGGTTGGTTTTCTTTTGACAAGTGTTTGTTTGCCAAAGCATTTCTGCAAGGTACACATGTTCAAAGGAGCATGGAAACAAGATTTGGACTTTCTTGAACAGCAGCGCAAGCAAAGTGAAATTCTCTCACCAGCCAGTGTTTGGCCCAGCTGAAAGCATTGAAGTGGAATTTGAGAAGCTGAAGGAGTGGAAGGTGTGCAAGTCAGCACCTCCAGAGAAATGCCACCATTTGAAAGCTCTTGCCCACATGGCAGTTGCCAATGGTTCTGCAATTGTGGCTTTAGAGCTGCAGAAAGCACATGTGCAGAAGACTTTGCTGCAAGTGTGTGTTGACCAAATGGTTGGTCCTGAGGATGTAGCCTTCAGCAACCACCCCAACTTGGTTTGGTCAGTGAAGAAGGTGAAGAAAGGAGCATTGAAATTGTTCCCAGCAGGCACTGTCACCAAAGTGAAAGACACACCAGTTGGAGGCAAGCATTACATCAAGGCCTTTGGGCACCATTGGCTTGTTCAGCCTTTCAAAGCTTTGACTGACTTCAAGAAGGGTGAAGGTGTTCTGGCTCCTTTCTGGTGGGTGAAAAGTGCTGACAATGAGGGCAACATGCAGCTGGCAGAAGCTACAGTGGATGGTTGCAAGATCCCTTACTTGGTGAACTGCACTCCTCTGGGCCCTGAAGAGATGCTGGTCCTTGAGAAGCCTGAAAATGCTTCTTCTGCTAAAAAGCAGAAACTGAAGGCTTAGGTGTGAACAAGGCGGAGAAGGAATGCTGTTTTGCCATAGGCATTCCATCTTTTTGTACAGCTAGGACTGATGGAGTCAGTTCTCTTTTGCCTACAAGGGTGGTACCTAGCCACTGTGCAGAATGAAATAGAAAGTGTTTGGCAAGCCTGCATATGGCTAGTGTCACTGTGGAAGCAAAGCCCCAGTGGCTCAACAAGTGGCATGCTCAGCTTTCATAGCTAGTGAGTGCATCCAAGCCCTCAGTGGCTTTCCTTGCAAGTGTTTCTTCCAAGCTGCCATGGTTGCATGAACCCCTTGCTGCCCCAATGGCAATGATGCTGATCCTTGAATTTGCAGTGCTTTGGCTTCAAGCCCACTGTTTTGGCATTTCTTTTTGCATGTGGGTATAGTGCAATGGCAGCCATGGTGCAGCTTCGAACTTCTTGGGAAATCAAGTACCAGGATGACAAGTGGATGTCTTTGCCTTCAACATTGGTTGAAACTTTTGAAGGGAATGCCTATTTGAAAATCAGGCCTTCTCACCCAAGCATAGTGAAGCTGGTGTCAAGGAGCAAAGTGAAGAACCCGTCCTTGTCTAGCAGTGTTCACTTGCAGAAAATGCTTGAGGACAGGAACACTGCAGCCATGACATTTTTGAATGCCCAGGGTCAAGCTGCTGAGCCAAAAGAGAACTTGTTTGAAGAGAGTGAGGAAGTGGAAGACAAGCAGCCTGCCTCCAAGAAGAGAAAATGTGCAGATGCTGGTGATTTCACTGTTGAGATTCAAGTCCAAGAGCAGCCTGTACAAGTTCTTCTGAGAGGTGCCAGGCCTACTAGAAGTGATTTGCTGGTTCGAATGGAACCAGATCAGCTAAAAGCTGTTTTGCAACTGCTTGAAGAAGAAGCTGCAGACTGCTTAGCTGCAGATAGGAGGCAGTACAAGAAAGCTAAGCAATGACTCTGTTGACTTCCACTGACTGTACCTAGCATGGCTCCTGTGCTGCTGGAAAAATGATCGCTTTGTAAACCATGAACCAAGCCTTGATGGCTACACTTCTCATGTCAAGCCTTCATGGCTTGTGGCAGCCTTTGCTTTTGCAAGCCCTTGAGGCTAGTTGGTTTTACTTTCAGTTGGTTGGAGCACAGAAGTTTGTGGTTGCCTTGCAGCTCCTGGTTCGAACATTTTTTTCGATGCATGTAGTGTGTGCCTGTGTGTGGCAGGAATGAGCTTGTGCAGGAAAATCCTGCAGCTTTTTTTTGGCCCTCTACTGGTGCAGGCAATGTGTGGTGCCCAAAGCTTGACTACATCACTGGATCATGAGAACAGCTATGGCTTGCTTGCTTCTTCTAGCAGCTGTTTCTTGGAAGGACAATGTTGCAACCTTTTGGTTCTCTGGAAAGGCATTGCAGGTTGTAGAATGAGAAAGAGCTTCTCCTGGAAAGCTGCTATTTCTTTGGCAATTTGGGAAACATCAGTCTTTGTGGCAAAAGCCAAAGGCCTTTACAAAATCAATTCTGCAGAATTGAACAGTTGGTGCTACAGAAATTGTTGTGTAAAGGCTTCTGGTGGTCATTGAAAGGATTGACTGAATGTGTTTGCACTTTGTTTAGCAAAAATGATTTTAGACCTAGCTGTGGCAATGTGCACATGCAGAAACCACTCCTACCTGTGGAGGGTGACTGTGTCATCTTTTTGATGCAGTCGCCATCCATCAGCAGGGCTGATTTCTGCATGTGCATAGTGCAATTCTACAAGGTGGAAGACATATTTCCACAATGTTTCCAACTTCCAATTAATGTGTTTTTTTTGCTTGGAAAACCAAGTGACTGCCTGCTACAGTGCAGCAGCAAATCTGTAGGAACAAAAAGCTGTGGTCCATCAATGGCATTGCATGCCTACACCATGGCTTGGGGTTGGCAACCTTAACTCGTGACAAGCCCATTGTGGCTAGTTTTGCATATTCTAGTGTGTGCAAGCCCAATGTGGCTTATTGTATCTCTTTAATTCCTCTAAGGCTTTGGAACTTTGATTGAATCAAAGTAGATTCAGCCCATTGTGGCTAGTGTTATATCATTGCTGTGCAAGCCCCTTGTGGCTATTGTTTTCTCATGACTGCACATTCCATTTTTGGTGCAGACACACTTGTTTCAAAACCATTGCCTTTTTACTACTTTCTCTGGCACTGTGCAAGCCCAATGTGGCTAGTTGATAGAACCTGTCACCTCATTGTTGCTAGTGATGTTTCTAAATAATGTTCAAAGAACTCCATTCTCTTTTGCAAAAAAGGAAGCTACCAAGCTATTGTGTACAATGTGGTTGATAGTACTGCAGCATTGGATATGGGTAAGCAATGTGGCTCAATGTGTGTAGGGTTGACTGGCTGACTGAATGACTGACTGGTCAAAATGCCTATCATTACCAACCTGGAGCACTGGCACAATGGTACCCAACTCACCTTTGACTGTGGAAGAACAGTGTGGCATCTTGGCCGCAAATTTCATTCACAGGATTTTGCAAAGTTTCAAGTGTTCATGAATTTTGTGTATAGAATGTGTACATCTAAGGGTGGGAAGTGTGGATCTTTGACTGCATACTAGTATGTGTGTTTTGTTTTCATTTGGTTATATGGCTGGTATTGAATATGCTTGATTGACAAACATGGTTCATTTTCATCAATGTAAATAGCTAAGGAAATTGAGAGAGGAAGTAGCCAGAATGGCCTGTGAGGAGGTAGGCTTAGGAGTGGCAATGATGTTCACACCTGAAGGACCGCGATGACCTGCCTGCACTGGAGTGAAAAAATATTTGTTGTTTACATCAAGAGAACTGTAGCCTTTAATGGCTGGGAGATGTAGTAGCAAGCCTTTATGGCTAGTTGACATGGAAGCCTGCATGTCTGCAATGTAAGCCTTCATGGCTGACTTGTTTCAAGCCTTAATGGCTTTACTGGTTTCAAGCCTCAATGGCTACAAAACATTGATTCAAGTCCCATGTGGCTATGATGTTTCACTGAAACCATGTGTTTAAGTGCTGCACTGTTGTTCAAGGAAAAGTAGAACTGAGGATGACTGAGATGAATGCCATGGAGGAGGTACCCTTGGTGGTGGACACATGCTACACTGACCATGGATCCCTGGAGTTTGTGGTTTTTTTTCAGTGATAAGACTTCACTGAGGTGGGGCCAGACTACCTGACCAACCCAAAAGTTTAATGTTGGTACACACATTGCTGTTTTCTCTAACTGTGAAACCCTGAAGGTTTGATCCACCAGCCTCCAATGGTAAGACCACATATTGGGAACAAGGAGAAGATGGACTGACCTACAGGGTGATGAAGAATGGCAAGATAGTGAACAAGATGTCAGTGGCCTGCTTGAGCAAAATGATTTACAATGTACACAAGCCCATGGCACAGATTGCCATTGATCAATTTTTTGGATCCTGAAAGTAACGATGAAGTAATCAACACAAAATGATTGCAAGATTTTGAAATGCATCCATTTTCATAGATTATGTTTCAAAGCAATTTGGGAAATGGATCCAAAGATCGAAGACTGCATACAGACAAATGTCAGCCAGTCTATGTAAAAGAATTGTTTGAGTCACTTTGCCAGGAGATTGTCTGCAAGCCTGCAATGGCTTTGACTGACAAGTGCATAGTAGTTTATGGAATGCAAGCCCACAGTGGCTAGTTGATAGGTGGACCAGAGCTCAAGCCCAATGTGGCTAGTGGAATGCAAGCCCACAGTGGCTAGTTGAAAAGTTGAACTAGAGCTCAAGCCCAATGTGGCTAGTTGGAATAATTGAAAGAAAACTGCACTGGATGCTTAATCACAATCTTTTGATGGTCCACTGCAAGCCTTCATAGCTAGTATTGGTAGTTTCCACTGTGTTGACTTAGTGTCATGGTAGCAATTCGAACTGCTCAAGTCTCAGGAAAATGAGATTGTAGTATATTGTAGTGACACCATGTATCAGAACAACAAGAATTATGACACAAAGAATACTTGATATGATTTACATTATATTGGCATCACTGGCTTCCTGAGATGCTTTCTAAAGTTCGACCTTGACCAATATATTTGCTGATTTTAAATATGCATGTTTACATCAATATGCAATTTTAGATTCAGATGTTGAATCTAAATTGTAAATACTGAATTTTAGATTAAGAATCTGAATCTAAAAATGAAAATTTTGGATTTTAGATTTAGATTCTTAATCTAAATTGTAAATATAGAATTTTAGATTTAGAATCTGAATCTAAATCAAAAATTTTGGATTTTTAGATTCAGAATCTGAATCTACACATTTTGTTCAAAATACAAATATTGCAATAATTTATCCATAAAATGAAAAATAATTCAACAAAAAATGCATATGCATAGGCTCTGTAATAATATATTTCAAAGATGCTTGACAAAACTAACTTCAGTTTTTCTCACTGCAGTCACACTGTGCCACCTAGCAATGAGCTCTTCAATGCCAACTGATGAAGAAGATGCTTTTGAAGTTCCAGGTACAGCATTTAATCTCTTGGTGAAGAAGGAGAAAGATGATGATGATGATGATAAGACTCAGCCTCCTAGCCCAGTGATGGAAGATATAGAAGAGGAACCATTGGAGGTTGAGCAGAAGTCATTGCTTGACCTGGTAGCTTCATTGCCTGAAAACGCCATTGAAGAGTTTCTTGCATTGGATTTGGGGTAAACTGTTGTTGTTTCTATTGTGATATACTTGACCATTGTTTGTTCTCCACTACAATGTTTGTCCAAAGTGATTGTTGTTGTTGCTTTGAACTTTCTTTTGAACCATGTTGATGGAATCCCTCAAGTGATAAGTTTCTCAGGAAAATGGATGTAGACAGCTTGGGCAAGCTACTGGTGGAGGAGATTGAGAAGTACAAGAAGGCAATGGGGATTGCTGTCAAAGAGGAACAGGATGAGGATGCAGTGAAGGACAAGACTGACAAGGAAATTACTGAGATGAAAAAAGAGCCAATGGAGAAGAGAAAATTGCCCATGCCTACATGGCAAAGCAAAAAGCCCAAGAATGATGATCCCAAAGATTCACTGGCACCTCCACCACCACCTCCAACTACTACAAGGCGTACTGATGTGGGGCATAGAAGTGGAAACTTAAATAAACTTGCCCTACTGTTGGCCCACCTGGAGCTGGGGAACTGGACAGAAGTGTGGCGCTTGCACCGAGTGTATCTCAACTGCATTTAATATTTCTTTTGTTGTTGGTTTTTGTTTGTGATTCTGTGGATGTTTTTTGGAATGCATTAATGCATGGGAATTTTGGGGGTGTGATCACTGGCCCACACCTAGGTACATTGCAGGAGGCCAGCTGAAGGATTTGTACGAGCAAGTGTACTCACAGTTGAAATGGAACAACAATGTTGATCCTAAGAGAGTGTACAAATGAATATCTCCAAGAGGAGCTGGCCAGTGGAGTATGGAAAAAAATGCTGTTGCTAGTCTCAAGCCCATGGTGGCTAGTTGGGAACATGTTTGTAAACTTAACTAAAATGCAAGCCTGAATGGCTCCAGTCCAAAGTGTCTTGCAAACATGAAAGCCTCAAGGGCTAGAGTTGTTGCAAGCCCACAGTGGCTCACCCTTGTGCAAGCTTCAAAAGCTCCTGTGTCTATGCAAGCCTTCATGGCTAAGAAAACCAAATGCAAGCCTATAAAATGGACTGCTAATGTTGCAAGCCTGTGATGGCTAGAATGTAGCAAGCCCAATGTGGCTAGTGAGATGTGAAAGCCTCAATGGCTAAAGCTGCAAGCATAGCAGTTTACAAAGTAAGTTGGAACAATGTTGCTGCCCTCAGCCTTTGCTTCAAAAACAATGAGAAAGCAAATTGCTGGCATAGATTTTGACAGAGACAATGTACAAACATAGCCATCCAAGTGAATACCAAACATTTGGAAACCACTAACTCAGAACTGTGCAAGTACAGCAAAAACAATTCTCAACATTGGAGATAAAGAAGAAGCCTTTTGCAAAGAAACAATGTTTTACATTCAGCTGTTGCTTCAGGACTGTAGCACCAAAAAGTCAAAAAACAACCATGACCATATGTTCAATGGGTATCCAGATGTTATATCATACCCAATTATTGTATACTTTTAGCCAGTTGAATTGTTGATCATCTACATGATTAAGCAATAACAACACATTTACAAACAAATGTAAACATTTGTAAAAAGAAACACTATAGCAAACATATTTTCTTCAAAGATAAGCTCTAAAGAGTCTGTTGTATGCCATGGCTTCTGGCACTGCCTGTGGTGAAGAGCATGCTTCAAAGAAAAGAAAAGTGATGTGGGAACCTGAACCTGAGCCTGTTCCTGCCAGCAGCAGCTCCAGTGCCTGCTCAACTACCATGGACAACCATCAGGAGCCAGCCAGAATGTCTGAGGCTGAGCTGAGAAGCATCTGCCCTACTGTACCTGACTGGGATTCTGATGCTCAGCATGAGTTTGACTGCGATTGTTCAGTTTGTGTTGACTTCTATCAAGAATATGCCAGGCGCATGAGCATCATGCTCATAGCATCTTAAATGTGAATAGCCTGGAGCATTTGCATTTTCAAATTAGCACCTGCTGCACTATGCATTTTACAATTAGCACCTGCTGCAGTGTGTCAACTGCTGACATAGATTGTTGGCAACCTATCCAAAAAGAAAGCTGTTTGTGAACTGCTGCAAGCCCTTGGTGGCTAGATAACTCAAGCCCACAAGTGGCTATGTGCCTAGAAGCCTTATTGGCTAGTTTGAACTTGCACACAAACTGTCTTTGCAAACCTAACTTCAAGCCTTCCTGGCTAGATGACTGTCATGACATGTTCTCAAACATGTAAATTCTATACACCAGTTCTTTTCCTAATGGCAGACTGGTTCAAACCTAGCAAGCAGCAGGCCTAGTAAGTGGCAATGGCTCACAAGTGGACTGCTGAAGACTTTTGCCATGAGCTCCAGCATGTTGCCAACCTCTTGGTGAAGCGGCCCAACTCTCAAATGGGAGAAGCTTGCTTGGTTTCTTTGAAGCAGAGGCTCACCAATGTTACTGACATGACTGCTAGCACATTGTCTGCTCTCTACGACAAAGTGGAAGCTGCTGAGTTGCCTCAAAATATCAAGGATGATATTTTGCAGACAATGGATAGCTTGTCAGTGTCCACAGAGAGCAACCTGCAACTGGAAACCAAAGCTTCCTCTCTGCACTGCTTGCCTCCTTACCTCACCACTGCTGACTGGAAGGCTTTGTCTCAATGTCACGTTTTGGATGCCATGAGAATCATTTCTGAAAGAATGAAGAAATTGGGCATCAAGTCCATGAAGGAAGAGACAAAGAAGACTGCAGTGGCCACACTTCTGCACTTGCATGTGACTGTGCACAAGAACCCATTGCCTTGTGCTTGGACCATCTATGGAATGGTTGTGGACTTGGCTCAGGTTTTCAACCATACTGAGGTTGGTCAGTCAGTTCCTGGGTTGAAAATGTACCCTAGCAGCCCAAGCCAATTGGCAAAGGATTGGTTGAAGAAGGCCTATGGAAATGAAGAGCCTTCAATGTCTGACCTTTCTGTGGCCACCTTCTACCCAAAGATTCCACTGAGGTCCACTTCGAGCTTGCTTTGGGCTGAAGCACCAGCTCACTGCAAGCACCTTCAGAAGGGGAATGCCAAGAAGGAGCATGCAGATCCTTTGATGAGCAAGCTCAATGACTTCATGGAGAAATGGGACTCCAAGCAGGACCAAGAAAAGTTGCAGAACATGCAACACAGCAGAATGAACCCACTGCCTTTGCAGAATACTGGTCAGCAGGCCATGTCAGGTCTGCCTGGATGGCCTGTGCAGCCCAGTGCTGGGTCCAGACCTGACCATGCTGGACCTTTGCCATTGCAAAATGGCACACCTGCTGCTGAGGCTGTGGAGACCAAGGCCAATGACAAACCTTCATTGGAGGAGATTGAGACCAAAGCTTGGGAAGCTTTGCAAAAGAAAAGGAGCAATGCCAAGGCTAAGTCACAGCCTGCAAGCAAGAATGGAAACAAAAAGAAAGTGTTGAAACGCCCAGCAGCTTCCTCAAGTACTGTTTTGACACGAGCCAGTGTCCAGAGAGTCAACAAAATCTATGGGTGCACAAGATGCCGTGGAAATGTGAAAGGATGGACTCAGTGCTGGGATGACACTTTCACTGGGAAGAGATTCTCCTCCAGAGAAGAATGGAAGGAATGGGCCAAGCAAAACAACAAGAAGTGAAATGGCAGTGGCTAGGTTTGAATGTGGGGTGCCAAAGGCACATTTTAGTGCTTTTGCTTTCTGGGTTCCTGCAGCAGCCACCAGTGCAAATCACTGAAGATGAGCTGTTAGCAAGCAATAAGATTTCCTCCAACAATGGCAAAAAGAAAAGGGACTGCAAGCCTGCTATGGCTGGTGAGAAGTGTTTTGTCAAGCCTAAATGGCTGTACCTTTGCAAGCCCAGGTGGCTCAACTATAGTGCTCTTCTACCCCTCGTGTCTTCCAAGTCCCAGTGGCTAGTTGCTTTGCCATGTTCCAGCAAAACCAAAAACACAACACAGATTGTTTGGTGAATGACTTGACAGTGGCTCCAGGCCCAGTGATGACCAGGGTGTTGATAAATCACACAATTTCATTAGCAATGCAACACACAATACCTCAAATGTCATATGTTTTGCAGAAGCAGATTGAATGTGCCACCTGGCAAAAAACAAAGCAAGCAGCCTTGCATGTAATGTCTAACCTGTTTGAATTGCATACTTTTTGCTTTTGCTACTGCCATGTGTGAAAGAGAAGCTAAACTGCAGAGACTTAATGTGCTGAGAAAAGCTGTCCCCTCTTGCAGCAAAAGTTCTTTGGCAGCAATACTGGACCATATTGCTGAGCATGGGCTGCCAGAACTCAATAATCGCAAGCAAATGAGAGAAGCAGCTGAGCAACAGCTCAAAGCTTCAGCAACCTATGGGCCTGCTATTTTTCACAAAAACTTCCTGAAGAGCGATGGAGGTACTGTCTCTCTCCCCATGGTGAATTTCTACACTGCATTGAGTGCTGCATGCAAAGTGAAGGGTAGTTTTTCCCAGTGTTTGCTTTCATCCTTGGCTGGTAAACCTACTGGAGTAGACACTCCTTGGAACCTGATTCTTTACAGTGATGAATGCCTCCCTGCCAATGCTTTGGGGAGAGCTGCAAAGAAGGTTTGGGTTGTCTATGCTGCTTTCAAGGAATTTGGTCGGCAAGCTTTGAGCCATACTCAGCATTGGCTGGTTTTGGGCATTGTCAGGAGCTCCATTGTGGCCACCTTGGAAGGTCACATGGGTCAAGTGATGAAGGTTCTTTTGGAACACATATTTAGCAACAATGTAGCTTCACCTTTGGTAGGTGTTCTTCTACATGGTCCTGGCAGTGAACTCATCAGATTGCATTTTCAAATTGGCTTCTTTGTGCAGGATGGTGCTTCTCAGAAAGTCACTTTTGGACTGAAGGGGGATTCAGGCAGCAATTATTGCTTGAAATGTTGTGATCAAATTGTGTTCCTTTTAGAAGCTGAGGAGGATGAGGAGAAGGCAGTGCTCAAGACCATTTGCAAAAAGGACATGGTTTTAACAACTGATGAAGAAGCTTTGAAGAGCTTTGACCGCCTCAGTGCCAAGAAGGGTGTTTGCACCCCTCAAGAGTTTCAGCAGTGGGAGCAATGCACTGGTTGGACTTTTTCACATGAAGGTATTTTGGCTTCCCCATGCTTGAGAAATTGGCTGCAACCATGTTCGCAATATGTTCATGACTACATGCATGGCATGGCTTCCAATGGCTGCTTGAACATTGGTATGTTTTTGGTTCTGGAGCATTTGCAATCTGAAGGGCTGCCAGCTTGGAGTGCCATGCTGGACATGATCAGCATGTGGCACTTCCCACAGGCTTTGCACAAGGTAGGTGCTTTATCTTCTTTGTTTACATCTGCCAAAGTGGAATCATACAGGAAAGCTGGGAAATTGAAAGTCACTGCAAGTGAAGTGTTGTGTTTGTATCCAATTTTACAGCACCATGTGCAGATGATTGAAAACAAAGGTGGCAAAAGTGCAGCAACACAAGCTTTTCTCAACCTGTGCCACATGATGGACCTTTTGCTTGCAACTTCTATTGGTGGTGTCAATGGTTTGCTTTTGGACACTGCAGCTGAAAATGTTTTGGCATCTTTTAAACTGGCAAAGTGGGGGAATTTTTGCATCAAAAAAATTCACTGGATGCTTCATTATGGTGACGAGCTGGAAGCCCACGAAATGCTGTTGCCTTGTTGGACAATGGAGAGAAAACACAAGGACATTACTCTGCTAGCTACAAGGGTCCAAAACTTGAAGAACTTTGAAGAAGGCTTGCTGGTTGAAGTGCTATCCCAGCAATTGCACCACATATCCCAATGGCAGAGAGAAGAAGCTTCACTGGAAAAGAAACATCTGGCACCAAAGAAATTGGTAGCTTGGTTGCATGAGCATTTGGGGCTTCGAAGCAATGACATTTTTTCCAGCAAGTGTATTGTCTTGCTTGGTGGAGGTGTTGCCAGTGTCAATGATGTAGTGCTTTTATCCAGTGGTACCAAATGGGAAGCTGGACAAATGCTTTTGAATTTTGCAATTGGTAGAGAGACTTGGTCTTTGTTGAAATGCTTTGTACTTCAGACCTATGATTCCAAGAGTGGCAAAGCCCTGTGGCATTCCACTGACCAATGGGTGACAGTGCCAGCTGCTCATATATTGGCAGCTGTGATCTATTCACAATGCCAAGCAGGGTATTTAACTTTGATCCCTTACCACCTGCGATGAAAAACAACTTGGAGGAAAAAGGTTTGCAAGCCAACAGTGGCTAGTTGGTTTTTCATTGGCAAGCCTTGTGTGGCTAGTGTGTGCAAGCCTTCAATGGCTGGTGTGAGCAAGCCTCCTATGGCTAGTGTGCACAAGCTTGACATAGCTATTAGTTCTGGACCAAGTTGCAGGTGCTGTGCCTGATCACAGCAAAATCAAAAAATAAAGTCAAAGCTGCATTGGCAAAAAACGAAAATCAAAAAAAACACATTTTGTTTTCATGGAAAACATGCAGCCAAAATGATTTTAAAAATTGACACAATGTCCCCATGAACAAATTTTCCTTTCTGCAAAACATACTTTTTTGTATCATATTTCACATTGAAAAAGTATGTAAGTTAAATATATGTTAAATATTTATAAAAACTTAGCAAGTGCTTAGCTAAGTAAGATAAAGCTCATAACCCACTAGCAAGACCACAGCCCATCCAAGTGTGATGAAGATTTACGTCGCAAAGACCAACATGCCCGAGGTTCCATCATGATGGCGGAGGACGAAGAGGACGCAGATGATCCTGAGGCTGATAGCCTGGACTTCGGCTTCCTCATCAGCTCTGGTTTGTCTGACGAAGGCCTGGCAGTGATCGAGGCCGCAGAAGATCAAGTGCAAGAAGCAATGGCAGCGATAGAGAAAAATCGCCGCACCTTGAAAGAAGCCAGAGCTCGTCAGCACTTTGTGAAGATGAGCCGCCAGTACTACAAGAGCACCTCCAAAGGCAAGGGTCGAGGAATGTCAACCAGCACATACCGAGAGGAGCACTCCGGCATCTACAAGTGTCTTCGATGTGGCGGAAGCCACAAGACGTCGCAGTGCCCACAAAAAGAGCAGAAAGCCAACACTGTGGACAAGGATGCAGAGGCACCTTTTGTATGTTACGTTGACACTCCTGAAGATCAAGCCTGCATGACAGCAAGCACTATCACCACCCAAGAAGCGATGCAGCAAGGAAAAGCAGTCCTGGATGGAGGCGCCACCAGAACTCTGGCCAGTGTAGCAGCTGTGGAAAGAATCATGGAGATCAATGCGGCTTCCAAGGGCAATGACGGCATCAAGTCAGTGAACCCGCAGGAAAGGCCAGTGTTTGGTTTTGGCAATTCCTCTACTGATCGCTGTTTGAGCACCGTCACTCTTGGCATCCAAGCTGGTGGTCGAGAAGGACAACTGAGAGTGCACACCCTAGATCGGGGGGAAGGTCCTCTGCTGTTTTCCATAGATGCTTTGAGGTCATTAGGTGCCATAGTAGACTTCTCACAGGACTTGGTTTGTTTCCGAAAGCTGGACAGCCAACGTGTGATCCAGCTTGAGAGGTCTTGTACAGGCCATCAGTTGCTGCCCCTCACAGAAGATCTTTTCTCCAAGGCTCAGAGCACCAGCAAACCGGTGCCGAGCTTAAGTGATTTCTTATAGGGACAACTCCTCTCTGAGCCGAAGTCTGCCGGTGAAAGGGAGGTTGTGGCCGCAGTTGCAGACACAACATGTACAGTATCCAACCTGGTTTCTACTGGAAGTCAAGTGACGTCTCAAACTGTTAATGTTGATGCTTTTGATGTTTCGGGTGTTGGTTTGTTTGGTGAAACTGTTGACAAAAAGGGATTGCAGTCAAACCCATGCACAAAACACACAACACACTTTGATGTAGCTCACTCAGTGGATCAACGAACACCCAGCAGCTCTCAGTGTCAGCCCCAGCATGCCACGCATGTCCAAAGACGAGATGATCTCCGAGATGGCCCGATTGGGCGAGATGCCACCGAAAGAGTGGACCATGATGGAGATCTCATTGCGACTGGACGAGCTTCGCATGGAGCACGGCCTGACACCCATGAGCGAGGGCAAGAGCAAGACCCCCTTGCGCAAGCTCGTGATCCAGCTGAACGAAGCTTCCAAACGCAAAGCCAACTTGGTGGAGTTTGCCCAGAAACAGCTTCAGGTCCCAATGAATGGCAACGAGACCATCCAGAGCCTCCAGCGTCGCTGCCTCCTCAAGATTTACGAGGTGACGCCAGCATGTGGGGAGGACCCAGTGGGTTTCGGCAAACACTCCTCTCTGAGTTACCACGAACTGATGACCACCCAGAAAGAGTACGTCCAATGGGTGATCAACACAACTCAGGAGAACATGGAGGGCCAGACTTGCGACCCTCGCCTTCAGCGTTTGGGACTTTGGCTGATGTCACAGCTCGAGAAGTCCAAGATGGTTCCGCACCAGCCAAAGACAGAGCCAGTTCCAGAGGCCCTTTTGATCGAGAAGGGCTACCGCAAGGTCAAGACAGAGAAGGGCAAGATCGCACCTTCCGAGACATCATCCGTCACCGGCAGTGTCACCAGCTCTCAGCTCCAGGCCACCCACCAGCTGATTCAGAATCTGGCCAGCGCAGTGGTGGATTTGAAAGAGGAAGTGAGTGCGATCAAGCAGGAACGCCCCCGCAAGGAGGTCAAGAAGGAGGAAGAGAACTCAAACGGCAGTTTCTCAGTGATCTCGCGTTAGATCCAGTGAGTCCAAGCTGTGAGGACCTTAGCCATGACCCTAGTTGTTCCGACCATAGTTTTGCAGCAGCCTTAGACATCGAACATGAGCATACCAAACAGGCAGGTAAGGTGATGTCTATTCAAGAACAGCGTTTTGTGGAACAAACGTCAAACCAGATGTTGCCCAGTGCTCTGCAGTCCTTGGTCACTAGGAGTAGGGTTAAGTTGCTTGAAGTAGCCTGTAGTCCTGACAGTGTTTTATCAAGTAGCATGCAAGAAATGACTGGAGTAGAGGGTTCAGCCGTCCGATGTTCTCTGTGGAACGGCTGCGATCTCCGAAAGGGTTCTGGGGTCAGAATGGTTTTGGATCAAATTGACCTTCATCAGCCTGAACACGTGTGGATGAGCCCAGAGTGTGGCCCTTACTCAGTCATGCAGAATATCAACCAGCGCACGGAGGCGCAGAGACTCTCTCTTGAGGAAAAACGAAAGGAAGCCTTGCGTCAATATGTTGGATGTGCCATCATATACCGATACTGCGTGCAACGGGGTATTCACATTTCCTGGGAGTGGTCACAGTCATGCCAAGGTTGGAGACTCCCCCTTATTCAAAAACTGGTTCGGGATGTTGACCCCAAATTTGCGGTTGTGAGGGGTTGCCAGGTCAATTTAAGGGATTCCCAAAAGCAGTTTGTGAACAAGGGTTGGAAAGTCATGACTACTCATCCTTTGGTTGCCCAGCGTTTAGATTTGCCATGCCGATGTTCCCCAGGTACCAAACATGTGCCATGCGAAGGATCATTAACTGGTAAGTCTGCCTTTTACACACCTGAGTTTGCCAAGAGGGTTTGCAGTTGTATCCTTCAGGGTTCTGACCATGCACTGGTTCAACAGGAATTGCAGTTTGGGAAACCCGAAAACACCAATTTTGGTTTGGGAACCATGTGTGTTTGTTCGGATGGACTTGCTCATGGGGCTGAAATCACATGTGGTCATTGCACTCAAGGGTTTGTTGCCAAACTGAATACTGTTCATGATGTTACCATGGATCACGAGGCACATGCAGGCCATGAGGTGAAACACGAAGTTGTTGACACTGAAGGTCATGAGGCGCATGCAGGTCATGAAGTTCAAGAACATGTCATGGCGGTTCAGGGTTGTAAGAGGGATTTTCCCCAAGGGTTGACCACCAAAGAGATTCAGAAACGACTTTATTTGCTGCATGCAGCCACGGGACATGGGCCGGTGAAACACCTTGTTTTGGCGTTGAAACGAAGGGGTGCTCCTGAACATGTGATTAAAGAGGCTGAACAATTTAAATGTTCGGTGTGTCATGAGAGAAGCCAACCAAAACCCAGAAATCAGTCTTCGCTGGAACCCCAGCCTCGGCGTCTCGAAGTTTTGTCCGCAGATGTTGGACACTGGGTTCACCCCGTCAGTGGTGAGCATCAACAGTTTTTGTTAATGGTGGATGAGGGTTCCAGATTTAGGGTTGCACGTCACTTGCACACGGGTCAGCAGAAACACATCTCAGCCACGCAGTTTATCAGTACTCTCAAGGAAGCCTGGTTTGAATACTTTGGTATTCCCCACACCTTGCGTGTGGACCCGGATGGAGCATTTCGAAGCCATGAACTGGGAGCTTTCTGCGATCAAAATCGCATTTTTCTGGACATGATACCAGGTGAAGCACACTGGAAAAACGGAACATGTGAGAAAGGAGTCCAGGGTTTGAAAGAACTGATGTACAAGCTGGCGAGTGATTTTCCTGATGAAGCGTTTGTTGACCTCCTTTCGGAGGCTACCAGAGTGTTCAACTCCAGAGAACTGGTACGTGGTTTTAGCCCGATACAGCATGTCATGGGACGGGCTCCAGATGAGACCGGCCGTTTCTTCCCAGTTCCAGTGGGCTGGAGTGATGATTTGCTTTGTGAAGGAGCTACTGCTGAGCACACTCGGTGCTATCAACTGCGTTTGGAGGCCGAAAAGGCCTATCTGGATTGGAGCACACGTCAGAGATTGACCCGAGCGAGAAACTCACGGGGCCAAAGAGTTCTGGATTTTTCAGCCGGTGACCTGGTTTTTATTTGGAGAAAACAGCAACCACACAAAACTCAACAAGGAAAACCAGGTCAAGGAAAGTTTATTGGTCCAGCCAGGATTCTGGCAACAGAACGTGCACGTGATCAACAAGGTCATCTGAAACAAGGAAGTTCAATCTGGCTTGTGCGTGGGCGCCGGCTTCTGAAGTGCAGTGCAGAGCAGCTCAGACATGCATCACCAAGAGAACAACTCTTGGAGGAACTACACAGTGAAGATCCACAACCTTGGAGTTTTACCAAGGTGGCAAATGATCTCGGTGGCAATGAGTATGATGACCTCACAGAGGCAGAGGTCCCACTGCAAGAATGGCACCGAGCCTCAGATCCTTTACTGGAGATGCAGCCGAGCAAGCGGTTCCGTGGGAAAAACCGCGTGCTGATGCCGAGAACACCCACAGCACCAGCAGATGACGTTCAGGCGGTCGATCAGGATCTTCTGGATGAGTTTGCACCCGAAGCAGGTGGTTCGTCCGGCTCTCGAGCAGTCCGCAGTAGATCACCTACAAGACCAAGGGTCAATTTCTCAGAGGGATACCATGACTTACCAAAAGAAGAACACTGGAGTAAGAAAGTACATGAGTCATATTTTGTTTCTGAGCCCAAAGACTTCTGGCATGGTGAACAAGCAGCTGTGCAGCTGGAGATTGAACTCCCTGACACGCGTGCGAGATCAGAGAGAGCATTGAAGGACATGCATGCCTTCATTACTACTTCCTTGAAGCGCAGGGCAGTTGAAGTGAGCGAAAGACGCCTCACACCTACAGAGTTACAAGAGTTTGCCAAGGCAAAAAGCGTGGAGGTGAACAATTTCATTGCTGCCAAAGCCTTTGAGGCACTTCCAGCTGACTACCGAGTGGACCGGACACAAGCTGTAAAAATGCGGTGGATACTCACATGGAAGAGAAAAGATGATGGCACGAAGAAAGCAAAGGCACGTGCAGTGCTTCTTGGTTATCAGGATCCACTCTATGAGCATCGGTCGACAATGAGCCCAACAACGACTCGTCAGACCAGACAGCTACAACTGCAGATCGCAGCGAGCTGTGGGTTCACAACTGAAAAAGGTGATGTGACAGGTGCCTTCCTACAGTCCAGACCTTACCCATCTGAACTGCACTGCATACCATGCAAAGAAATCTGTCAGGCAATGGGCTTGCCAGAAGAATCAGTAGTGCGTGTACAGAAGGCCTGTTATGGTTTGGTAGACGCCCCTTTGGAATGGTACCGTAGTGTCAGCATGTTTTTCGAACAGCTAGGTTTTCACCGGTGTCATAGTGATCCATGCTGCTGGGTCTTGGTCAAAGACAATAGACTCAGAGGCGTAGTGTCAGGCCATGTTGATGACTTTCTGTTTTCAGGCAGTACAACAGACCCTGTCTGGATGGCCACGCGCAAGGCCATCATGGAAGAATTCAAATGGTCAGACTGGGAGAAAACCAAATTCACCCAGTGTGGCGTATGTGTTGAAGAGCACCCTGATGGCTCTTATTCGTTGTCTCAAGCTCAGTATGTAGAGGAACTTAAGTATATAAACCTTCGAGCAAACAGGCGGAAGGAAAAAGAGTCACCGACCGATGATTGGGAGAAGTCTCAATTAAGAACCCTGTTAGGTGGAATTAGTTGGCATGCACAACAAGTCGCACCACACCTGTCAGCAGATGTGAGTCTGCTCCTGTCCCAGATAAACAGCAGCACAACTGAAACCATCAAACAAGCAAATGGGTTGCTGGACCAAGCTCGGGCCATGAAGGAGCACCGTATGAAAATACACAAGATCCCTGTGGATCAACTGATGTTGTGTGCGTGGTGTGATGTGGCCTCACAAAACAGACACGATGGATACAGTACTCAAGGGATTGTCATAGGAGCTGTTCCTAAAGACTTACTGCGAGGTCAATGTGTTCCTGTGTCATTCATGTCATAGCACTCTTCCAAGATATCCCGAGTGTGTCGCAGCCCGGGAGCGAGTGAAGCGGCCGCGGCTGTAAATGCTGAGGATCTTCTTTTCTTTGCAAGGTTTCAGTTAGCCGAAATGCTAGGTTATCCAGTGCAGGTGCGATCTATCAACCACTTCTTCACTTCACTGCGCCTTCGGAGCTCCATCTCTGCCGCACCTGAGTGGAACCTAGCTCCACGGCGAGGCACAAGCAGGCACTTACAATGGAACAAGACCTCAGTCGGCCGTGATCCACCTGGCCGCGCTGGCGCCAACGGAGCGCCAGACAGGGTGCTTCACACCGTGCCTGGGGATCCAGCGCACCCGACATAGTGTTAATCGGATGCCGCACAAGAACACTGCACCTAGAGTGAGATCGGAAAATCAAGAACTGAAAAGCAAGGATGCCCAGCAGCACCCGAGCACAAAAGTATGGAAAATCAAACTGCCTCACTGCCCGCTCAAAAGGTGGTGGTCATCACTCAACGCCGGGTTCACCTATAATCTCTTGAATCTGTCTTTCAAGTGCACCACGAGGAGCTGGGCCATCTTTGCGCAAACCTCCACTTTTTTCCATGCCATCCTGCAAGACAGTCAGCACATCACTCAGAGCACCTGGAGCGACCGAGATCTGGAGACGAACCTTGGTCTGGTCATATACTTTGGACACTCGACAGTAGAGGACCTGATCGCTCAGCACAGCCGGATCGGTGACAGAATCACAATGTTGCTTCACCATGGCACGCTTCTCCTCAGACAGGGCTTCGTCTTTCAAGGCGGCTTGGGTCAAAGCAGCCCATACCCACGAAGACGGCTGTCCCAGGGTGTGATTCTTTCCCGCAGCGCGAGCTCTCTGCGCATATGTCTGGCCGGCGGCCGAAGCAGCCTGAGCATACGCACCCTCCTTGGCCAGGATATAGGTGACAAAAACTGCACTTTCAAGGTTGCGGCAGACCTGCGTTCTTCAACGTCAGGCGAGCCACAGCAGTCAAGAGCTGCTCATTGTCCTTGGAGCTTCGGCCGGTGCGAGGTCGCACCTGCCGTTCAGCACCTGCACCATTGGGGGCGGCGCCGAACCAAGAGTCCATGGCTGAAGGCTCGGTCTCTACTTTCCAACTACTGCTGAGCCGCAATGAGGTACTGGTGCAAAACATGTTGGCCAGCGGGGACGTGGCCCACCACATGTGTCTGCAAGGTTTCCAAATCAACTGCTTCATGAGGACAGACTGGACATCGAAAAGTTGGAGGGGGACGCAATTGCTCCACCATGCCAGCAGCATTCCCCCCTTGTCGAGGGCAGTGCCCTTTTTTGACACGGGCATGAGCATGACGTTTGGCAATCTCAACGGAAGCAAAGATCCTACGACACCACGGGCACTGATTGCAAACCACAATTTGTCGTGCAGTGATGCGCACACCATGAAGGCGATGTCTGTGTGTGGAAAGGGCCGTTGTGGATTGCGCGGTGTAGCCACACTGTGCCCCATCAGCACCAATCCAGTCACAACGAAGTGGAGCCGGACCCACAGGCGCCACCTCATCTGCATTCTCCACTGGCGCAAGTCCAAGCGCTGCCAACTCCTCTCTGTATTTACGCACCAGCAGGGTCCTGATAGGAAGATTGACAAACAAATCTTTGCAAGGATGAAAAAAAATCGACAGTGGCTGGTCAGCCACCAAATTTGGCTCACCCAACTTGTCCAAATCTTCCACCAGTTCCCGCAGCCATGGGTTTGCAAGAGCAGTGACTCTCCCATCCACCCCAATAGGCGGCCCATTTTCCCAGCCATATTGTCCAAAAACTGTGGCCAGTAGCGACACATTGTCGCCAGGGTGCCGGGCGATGCTTTGCCACCAGAGAAGACGGCGGGCTCGGCGCTCCCAGGCAGGCGGAAAGATTTGCAAAAGTTCAAACACAGCCGAATTTGACAAGCTGCGATGGTGGCCGTGAGCATCTTCGTGTGGCTTGAGGCAGGCACGTCCTTGGCAAAATTTTCGAGCCAGAGCGGCAAGCACTCTTCCAAGTCGGACATTGTCACCATCATGAGTCTGCAGAGTTTCAATACCTGAGTACAAAGGAGACACCACCATAGCCAAGAAGACCAACCGCCGTTGAGATGCAGCAACCCCGCGCGTGAACCAAAACTTGCGCATGATTGCCCAATTTCGCTTGGCCACAGCAATGCGATTGGAGACTTCAGGGGATGTGGCTCCAGAATGGTGAAGGAGACTGCCCAAGTATTTGCACACTCTTTGGCAGCGGCCACGAACTTGTATGTGTCCGTGGTAAATGCGCTGCATTGCCAGCTGGGCCCCTTTGCCCATAAGGCGGACCAAAAGCTCTTTTTTGTCATGGTTTTGGCCCATGTGAAGCCGACCCAAGCACGCATCAAAATGCGAGTCCAAGGTTTGCATGGTGGGTGAAAAATCAGCAATGCGAGGAACCACATGAGTTCTAGCAACGTCATCTGCAAATGTGCTGAGCGCTGTGTCCACTTGCAAGCCAGAAACAGGGTCCCGAAGTACAAACTGACCACCATGCTCCATGCGCCTGCATCTGTCATTCCACTCGTCCAGAGGAGGGTGGTATACCGCCAAAAATTGAGACGGAGCCACCCGGTCACCTTGCAAGTTGCCACAACCAATCTGAACCACTGTAAATTCAGGTTTGAAAGGGTCGCGCACCAGAATGAAAGCAGCACGGTGGCGCAAGCAAAGCAAATTTGCGTCCGCAGGTCGGCAATTGGAACAAACAGCCAGGTCCAAGCTTGCGTGCGATGGTGATGGAAACGCGTTTTTGACATCATAGAGCACACTAACCCGGCTCTGGCCAGTTTTCTGCAATTTCCAGTTGAGACACCGTTGTTGCAGTATTGCCTGCTCCCTGCGTCTGTGGCGCAAAAAGCCGCATGCATAGTGTCTGGCAACATCGCCTTGCCGAGTCCAGAGCATGTGAAAAAAACTCTTCCCAATCGGATCCAGCTTGTGAATGAGGCGCTTGCCTGCACACCCGCGTTTCCCATTCGACTTGTCAAGCTCAACTGGTGAAGAAAGATTCCATAGCCAAGGCACTTCTTGATTGCGTCGCACCAAATAGAGCAAGGTGCGCAGCAACCCTTCACAACTGCCATGCGTGCCAGGAGGCAAAGTGTGCCCCTGGGAGAGATGCTCTGCAGGAAATAGAAGGAGTCGCCAAACTTCCGCAGGAGCACTCCACTCCGGCACCGAGCGGCCACGCCGCAGGCTGCGAACACTTGCGCAAAGACCCGCAAAATCTTCGTTGGCCAAAGTTTCAGCATGGACCTCAACTTGCACCGGAGGGATGGACATTGGTGAGCCATTGTAATCAGCAAAAGAACCCAAGGTGGCTGTGCCCACATCCATTCCAGAAACCACTTCGCTTGTGGAAAATGCGTTGAGTGTGCGAGCTGAACAACCACCTGCAGGGCCGGATTGCACCAACTCTTCCACCCATTCAGAAGCTGTAGGGCGGAACCTCTGCGGCATGTTGTAGCGCCGCTTTTTGGGCCCGTGGCTGCCCCCAGCCAGCTGGTAAGCCAATTTCCATTGCAGAGCCAAATCGCTCCGGCGAGCCGCAGACGCCAGTTGTTCCACCAACTCAGAGCGACGTGCTCTTTTGTCCTGGCGGCAGAGCCGTTTTGCTTGCCGTTGCAATTGCACAAAACGCACATGGGCCATCCACACACGCCAGTAAAAACGCTGTGGCAGAAGGTCTCTTGGGGAATGTTGCGAGCTCTGCACTGCATCTCGGTAGCGCAGTCTGGCCGCCAATGCCTGTTCAGCAGCGTGAACTGTATCAGCTGGTTTGCGAGCGCGGCCAGGCGGCGCAAGCTGAAAGTGCTTCTGCGCTGTTGAGCACACCACATTGTTGAGCTGTCGCCAGGCAGCAGCCACAGTGTGTGGAGCTGTTCCATTTTGCTGGAGTTGAACCTGCTGCAACCCACGTTCGGCTTCTTGAAGGAATTGCGTTTTGCAATCAGAGCCTTGGATGGCTGCGGCCAACTTCGAAAAGTCCCATCTTTGCTCCGAAACTTTGTGATCAAAGTGGATCTCGTACCGAAAGTCAGCAACCACTGGGCAATGGTCCCGGAGTGCAGGGCTGTCAACCAGCTGCAGGCGAAAGGCACTCCGATACCAAACTCGAACTTTGCAGACATGTGGCAAGAGACCAGCAGGAACCAAGACATAGTCAATACGAGAGGCATGGTGGGCGCCATGAAACGTTTTGCCACATCCGTGCCTGTCGTGAGTGTTGGTTGCTGCCAAATGATGTTGCAACATGAACTCGTGTAGCTTGGAGCCGTTGTAGTTTTCCACCTCGGCACCCCATGCACCCACCGCAGCATCATTGCCTGGCAGTACTTGCCACGGCCCTGGGCCTGCTCTGTGTAGCCCTGTCCGGCCGTTGGCATCCAGTAACAGAACAGGAACTGTCCGCACTGGAGCATCCGACAAGAGGCGATCCAGCCAGGAAAACAATGCATGGACTCCACGCCGTTGCGCTTGATTGCTGGGCTCCACTGGCACATATCCCACAACCAGCAAAAAATCTGCACGCGCGCCCTTGAGGCGCAAGGCGCCGGCGCGACCTGCCAAGCAGTCTGGAGGCGAATAAATTTGTCTGATGTGATGCAAACGAAACTTCTGGTGTTTGAGCATGAGTGCCACCCCACATGATTTGTTGGAAAACACGCCGCTTCCGTACCCCCACTGAAAAACATGATGCTGCGAACTCCGGAAGTAGCTGCATGGAAAGTCTTGCTCTGCCCGGCTACACAACCCTTGGACTCCCACAACATCCACTGTTTGCATTTCTCGCGACAGCACATCCCAGCGGCCCATCCGGACCATTGACATGGCATTGTATGTTCCCACTCGCCACATTGGCAAGGAATCAAAGGTGGAGGGTGGCGGCAACTGAGGATGTGGCTTATCATCAGCATGACTAGGGCACCCCACATCTGGGTTGCAGGGTTTGGCAATTGGATGTTTCCTCTGTGCTTTAGGTTTGCCTTTTGAACGGCGGTAGCAGGCTTCTCGCACGGCATCATCTGCTTTCTGTCGGGCAGGTCCTGTCATACATTAGCCTGCCGTGCCACCATGGCCCCTCGGCCGTGCTACCTCGCCCTGTCTTGGGGAACTTGAGAGTTCACAGGGCTGATCTATCAACCAGGCTGTAAACACCATACAGGGCTGTGTAGTGACAGATAGCCGTAATGTGTTCGATAAGCTTTCCACTGAGGTCTTGTGTCCGAAAGGTGCAGAGCGCCGAACCGATCTGGAGTTGCTTAGTTTAAAAGAATCTCAACTGAGGAATCATGTATGCATCCGTTGGGTTCACTCTGAGGCACAGTTGGCAAACAGTCTCACGAAAACTAAGGAGATGAGACAGCTGATGTTGTTCTACCAGATGGATCAAACGTGGCGCATCGTAGAAGATAGCAGTATGGCATCAGCAAAGAAACGGAAGCAACGTGGACAACCACCTCTTGAAAACGGACCTGGCCAAACAAACCCTGAGAACATACCTACACACATGAACATACACCTCACAAGTGCGCAAGCGCTGAATCCCTAATTCTTTTGTGGTTTTGGTTCTTATTGAGACTTCCAGGAGAACCGGGCCGGGGGGCATGCAAGTTTTCACTTGTCTCAGTCATCGCAATAGGATTCCATTCGATGCGACATCAAGCTTGTTGGATCAAAACGAAGGCCAAGGACCATCCAGTGGCGCATTAGCCCCACCATTAGGTGCTAGCCCTTCTTCCATTTCCACTCATCAACGCTTGAGTGCTGTGGCTCCCGCATATATATATATATATATCTGTATATATATATATATAACTCCCATTTTGGGGAGTGAACTATTAACAAACATGTCACATCATCAATTACCATCAAAAGCTATCACTCATGCCATTTAGTAGTGAAAACCATTGGGAACTTGCACCATTTTGGGGATGATTTTCCCCTACTTAGATGGTCCAAAAGGGGTTAGATGTGGTTGTTGGGCGGTTAGGGACTCGCGCAAACAACTCATTATTTCAATGGCCATTTCAGGAACCTAAATTGGAGGTACCTCCCATATATAAGGCCTATGTAAGGCCTATGTAAGGGAATATCCCCACAAAATATGGCCTTATATGGTACAGGACCTCCATTTTAGGATCCTGAAATTCTCATTGATTATTTGGTCAGTTGTAGGCCAGGTTTACAAGCCAGTCAACATAGTCAACTAATTCCGCCCATCTAAGTTTTCTAAGTACTGATTAGCCATCATTTCCCGAGACGTGTCATGGATCTCCTCTGCATATTCATAGGTCTTTGCATCGCCAGGGATGAGCGGTGCGAAGTCGTAGCGCCGGGCGGTGCTACGACTTCGCAGGGCTGCGTAGCGCCACCACTTGCCTCGAAGGTGTCCCAAAAACGTAATCCTCTGGGGATGGTTTAAAACGGGTTTACCTCATTATGTACTATATATATATATACTCTGGCATATATATATATATATGTATATATATACTGGTGTATATATATATATACTGGTATATATATATATATGTTGGTATATATATATATACTGGTATATATAAATATATGTTGGTGTATATATATATACTGATATATATGTATATATATATACTGGTATATATATATATACTGGTATATATATATATATATACTGGTATGTATATATATATATATACTGGTATATATATATACTGGTATATGTATATATAATACCCATAGGATCCATGGTGCTGCTATATATAGTAACATCGATCCCATAAATATCCCCCAAATGTTAGCATATATACCATACATGGATCCTATGGGATATTTTATGTTTTTCTGTTTATGAAAAATATCTATATTTGCACACATATGCATAGATTTAAATCATATGTATGCTTTTATGCACACACACACATATATATATATAATTATATATATATATGCATATTCGCTCCACAAATGGGGAAAACATTGATAAGCCATTGGATCTTGAGGTTTTATTTTTCTTTAAATAAACATCCGCATGAACTGTTTATCGACACCGCCAACCCAAGGCACCACCAGCACCAAGGGACGGTTCGGAATGGAGTAATCGATCGGTTTGGTAAAGATGTGCTGGCGCCAGCAGTAGCTCTCCAAGCGTTTTGTCGCATCTTGCAACCACTCGGAAGCGGCAAGACCAGTGAGTGCAACTGCAAGACCAGCTGCAATGTGCATGCCACGCACGCGGCACCGTGTTGACTCCCATGATGATATACTGGTTGGTGGTTTCAACCCCTCTGAAAAATATTAGTCAGCCTTGATGATTATTCCCAATATATGGAAAAACAAAAAATGTTCCAAACCACCAACCAGTATATTATTCCGAATACTGGGTGATTAGACTGGGTGATCCAGGCACTGTTAGGCACATTTCGTAAGAGGCCCAACTTTTGTCAACATTCATCCAAATTCTAAAGTAGTTGCCCAGAAAAAATCAATAGAACACCTTAACCTTAGGCCTTATTGAAAAGTGGAAGCTGACGAATAAGATCCAATCATGGCTGCTCTTAGATCGCACCATGTTTCAGCTTCCTCTCTCTCAGCAAACAGCTCTTGTTGGCCAGGGCAGGTGCCACTTGTGCCACATTGGAGGCACCTAGAACTTATTGTGATTTATTATGTACAGCACCACTAACAAACAACAAATCACATTGACAATGAAATCCTGCACTAAACATGGAGGTGCCAGCTTGCCAGGGGTGCCTTCTATTTCTCCATTGGTCTCTTCTGGATGAGTTGTGACCGATAAAAAAAACACTTCTTCCAACCCGTCCACAACTAGATCTCCAACAAGGTGAAATACGCCACATCCAAACCTCTAATGTGGATTTGTGGATTCAAAGTTTTAGAACATCAAAACTAAACAACCCAGAAATGCATCCGAAATGTAGACAGTGAACTTTAAAAAGATATCGGGTTGTGCGAAAAGTGCATGGTCTCACGTCATTTACACCGTCCAATGGCAGGTTTGGGGCATACCCCATTTATCCCCATTTCAGGTCGAACTCATAATCCCCTTCCTGTCCTATAGTAACAAAAACATACAAAAAACAGTTAACAAGAATCATAGTCATATATATATAATATATATAAGTCATATGAATCTATACTATACCATCTATCAGAAACCCAAAGCCATATATAGTCGCATATCATAGTCATCTATAACCATATAAGTCATATAGTTCAAAATTGGATCTATTCATTTTGAGCCCCTGATGCCTGGTCGCATTGGTTCGCTGGGCCGGCTGGGACGTCCTGGTGTATCCTGAAACGCCTGGTCGGTCCAAATTGATGTCCGGAAACACCCCCACATTTGTGATGTAAATGTGGATATCCCATATGCGAACCCATGGTGCTGGAATATGCACACCAACATTTACCCCATAAATCACTCAGTCATGTAGCTAAATATACTATACATGGAGCATTTGGATATGATATAACATGATCGAACTGGGATGCACAACCGGTGAGTTATCTGGTGTCAAATTTGACGGGAATTTGAACCTCGGAATGAGAGATGGGGACTGTGGGGCTGGCCGCAACCACCTATGGATAATATATATATATATATCATTGATAATGTCAAAAAAATCATGGCGGCGCGGGCTTGGCCCAACATGTTTCCCTGCCGCAATCTCTCGGACAGTAAGGCCCTCAACCCTGAAGTTCCCAAAAACTGGCTGCCGCTTTTGACAGATCAGCGCAATTGCAAAAGTTGAGTCAAATCAGGTTTCGAAAGAGTGGTTTGGGTATGGGTTAAAAGTCCTGAAAGCTTCGGCCAAGCCAGGCTTGAGTAGCTCTGGCCGCTTCATCCGTTTCTCTTAAATCAGGCACGCCAAATATATATATATATATATATAATATGTATATATATATATTTATATTTATATGTGTGTGTACATATATATATATATATGTGTGTGTGTGTGTGTCTATACTTCTACGTATATGTATACTTGCACATAAAAATAAATTCTAGATTCATGACAATCATCCATTTTCATCTTCACCCATACCCATCTTGAGGATTCCTTCCAACTGGATGCCAGCTTGCAGCTCAAAATTGCTGCTTTGTGACCATCTTCAATTTTGGAGATGTACACTGTCCATACCACTGGGGTTCCTGATGACATCGCCTCAAAATATGCAATGCTACACGCCATGCTGATTTGCACACCAGCAGGTATGAAGTGAATGCATAAATTCACATTCATCCTGCAAATTTAGTGTGTTCGCACAAAAACAGACACGCACTCTACATGTAAGACTATAATTATATATACTATAATGTGTATATGTATACTATGTTTGTAAATCTATCCATCTATGTGTTTGTAGTTGAAATATTCTGTATAATGAAAACAATATGCACTAATACATGCGAAACAATATATATATAATTATATATGTGCATATTCAATCATATTATAGACAGAGATGAACATACACCTGTGCAAAAAGGGATGGTTTTGATCGAAATTGCTTAAATGCATTGGTGTAACCGTTGCACATGGTGACCAGTTGATTTCACTGGCATCTCGTTGGGCACTCGACCGGCGCATCGTCTCTCGCGGCCAAACGAGGTGAGACAATTGGTCCATCGAGGCTTCCTTATAAGTCTCAGCTGTCCACCCTGGATATCCTTAACCTCCCGAGGCTGTTGAATTGGGGGGCATTTTAGTATATGATCAATCATCGTGTTTTTATTAGTAAAAGGGTGGTAATCCCTTGAATTTACCAACCAGCGTTTATTTGCGATGGTCAACAAAAAACCCTGACTCTTCAGCAAATCAAACAGGATCCACCCCGCAGAAGCTTCGAGGGTGGGAAAAACCATGCGACAACTGCAGAGACATCGGCGACTCGCTGGGATACAATCCTGTTAGATCCTGTTAGGCACATATGGAGGTTTCCTAAAATGGGGGTACCCCCAAAAAAAAACATACACGTTAAATAATGTTAATATGATTTTCTATTACAAACCATCCATTTTGGGGTACCCCCATTTATGGAAA